TTATATAATAGTGCTTTTTTTTCAAATTAAAAACACAGCCAATATCTACTCTGAACATAGAATAATCATTGTGGGTCTCTGTGTTGATGTTTTTAATTTTTTCATTAATAAATGTAAATTCCTGATTCAGACCATCTTGTTAGGCACAATCATGAAAATGTAAGTAAAGTGCACTGTAGAAGCTCCTTTTGACCATTAGGTTTAGGTCTTTGGGCATAGCCTGTATATTACAGGCTCAGTTTTTGCTGCAAGATTTAACTTAGCAAAACATCCGCTAAGAACTGATTGGGCATCGATCCAAGCTAGATCCATTATAGAACTATGAAGGTGGTTGAAATAATAATGTGACTCATCATATATGAAGGGCAAATAGAACTTAAGTTTCCTTCCTGGACAACGGGAAGACACTCTAGACTCTAGTCAATATGATACATCAGCATTGTTGCATAACAGTTAACATACAGTAAACTGCAATAACAAGCTGTTATGATATTTTTGATTCACTAAAAAATCACTGTACTTGCATAAAATGGCACAGTTTTTTGGTGAATAATACAATTGGGGAGGCATCACTTTTTAAATCTCAAACTTTTCTCCAAAGTCACACAAAGCATAGACAGTCCAGCCTAAAACCTGTTCTTGTGTGTCCATGTGTAAATCAACACCACATGGGTTTCAGAACACGGACTTGGCAGGTACTTACACTTCTCACTCGTTTATCAGCTTTCTGCTTCAGTTGCTCAATCTGTTTAAAGAGGAACAACACAATTAAAGCCACTATTGTTTGACTATGCAACTTTTATCTCACTGTTAAGGACCAATCACAGTACCTATTGGTCTAACAGCATTTTCCACAAATTAAAGATAAGTTATCATATAATTTATAAGATAAAAAGACAACTCATTGTGCACACGGGAAGTGTTACAGACAAAAAACAGCAGTGTGAGAATGACCAAAAAACTGAACCTACAGTTAAGGTGTGCTGGTGACACTTAGGGTGGACTGGCCATTCAATGCCATCACCCCTGGGCGTCCCTGACCACGTGAAGACTTGCTTGAAGTTCAGCCAGCGGCTCCCGAGGTCGTAAGGGAAGACAAACTCCTCCCCAGTTTGGTAGTGCTGTATTCTGTCTTTGGCCTTGTGGAAAAGACACAGGGAGTGGAAGGGTGTGTATTTGTGTCAATGGGATCAGGTAAGTAGGGTGGTATCAAATTTCTGTAATCAGTGTACAACATTGTACTGACAGACAAACCCTAAAACTTGTGTGCCTTGGTCATAAAAGTGACATCTTTAATTCAACAAACTTTGATAACCAAATGTTGTACATGTTAATTCTAAATCCAATTCAATATTGTGTGAATAAAATGAAGCCCACACCTTAGATTATTGTTTCTAGATCACTCAAAAAGAAAAAAAAAAGAAAAATAGTCATCCATCTTAAATTACACTAACATCACAAAATTTCATCACAGAACAAAGTCACTGGAAATCAGAGACAGAGACCGACCTTTTCCTCGATCCAGGACTCGATCGAGGTCTTATTTCGAAGGATGACCTTCATCTGAAAAGCACAGACTATTTCATTATCAGAAGAAACTCACATTTTCTTTTATAAATATTTTATTATTGCACCATTGATTTCTCCCGAATATGCAATGTGACTGCTTTTTGGAATTTGGGATATTTAAATGGGCCGCAAAGACAGCCCTCAATTTTTGCTGTGCCCTTTCTGGCTTTGCAAATCTCAGTAAGTACTTTGTTAGCTGTCATTTGTAAATTCCATGATTCCAATTCCAAATATTTTTTTGTGCTATGTTCTGTGTATTTACTCATTTTATGTCTCACCTATACATCTCTTTGTTACAGTATTTGCAAGTAAATGACAATGAATAGGGATAAGCTGTGCATTTGTTGAACCGAGCTGCATTTTTGCATTGGATATACCTAAACCTAATGTGATTAAGTTAAATATCACATTCAATACCCAACAGCTTGTGTAAACTGAAAACACCAATGCAAGCCTTATGACAAATTTACCTGTATGAAGAAAAGCATGCCAACAGCAATAGTGGTGCCCAGTGCCAAGCCTAAGGCAAAGAGTGTGGCAGCAAAGGCGGGCACACTGAAGGGCATGAGGGGCTGGAACTGACGCACAGCACTCATGTCGATCTTCACTGTGCTCCACCCAAATGATATCTGCAGTGAGGACAAAGAAAACAAATTGACGTGTGGTAACTTCAATATCAAATGATAAAATGAATGAGGCTGACTAGAGAAAAGCTGTGGTGATAATAGGCCAACAAAAGTGAGGCGTAGTGGGGCTAGGAGACTACTGACCCTCTCATAGAGCTGTGTGTACATGGTCATAATGAAGATAATGGCAGCGTGTGAGCAGCCCAGAGGAGCCAGCAGCAGGAAGCTGGTGAAGTAGGTGTGGTTTTGATGGCCACAGCAGTTGTTTATCCAGGGGCAGTGGTGGTCCATCTTCATCACACACCTGTGGGAGGGGAGGCAGAGGAGGAGAGGAGTGCAGGGGGAATTGACTGGTTGTTTGGGAGGACATAGAGTGACAAGTTCATCAGCACACTGCATCTATTTTCAGAGTAAGACACAGATTTATGTAACAGCTGATTGTCCGCGTGAATGATAATTATACAAATCTAAATTTAGTTGCTTGGTTTACCTTGACAGGCCTATCCGGGTTCTGTATTTGTGTCAGTTCTTGTTTACTGTAATGTGCAGTGATTAGGAGAAGTCAAGTGTGCACTTCAACCACACAGATACTTTATAGCACTGCAGAAAAAAAACATCCACTGAAAGAGTGCACTTCACAGCAGCAGAAAATACACAAGCACGTTCTAGTTTGATGTGCTGGAAATAGCTCAGGAATTTGCTGTAGTGGCTCCATTTTTGTGCTGTTTTATTTAAGAGTCCATCTAAAATGTGAGAGAAAACCTACTCATACTTTGGTAATAAATGTAGCTACCTGTTACACTTGCGACAGTGGTGGGACCTGGGGGCCTTGTACCCTTGGCACACTCTACAGTACTGTAGGTACTGGGTATCCTGTTGATTCTCCTGTTTCGGGATAAACAAATGAATGCTGAAGTCTGATGCAACTTTCCAATGATTAAATGGTTTCACTCTGTTACATGGTACCAAACTGTTCTTTACACTTTCTAAACAAACGTGAATGAAAAACGTAATAGGTCTTACCGGTCTCCAGCCAAGAGGGATGTACCCAGGTCCAACAAACATAGCATTGAAGTAGTTGTAGAGGATGAGGACAGTCCAGTTGATTAGCATGATGAAGTTAATGCTGCCTCCTGTAGTGTCTAGGGGCCAGTACCAGATAATGGAGTCCAGAATTGCCATGGTGGAGCATATAGCAATGACAGACAAGGCTATGATTGGACCCCAGTGGCACAATCTCCGAACCTCATGGAGGTTCTCAAATGTCACAAAAGTTGACAGGAAGTTCATTTTTTTTTCACCACAAGTTTAGTACTAATATTTTGGCTGTTGAGTTCCTGAAAATGTATTGACCAAGCTTCAATAGTGTATTACTTTTTTTCTTCTGCTATCTTGCAAAGTCAGCGGTGCGGACGATGCACATATTTTTCCTCGTCTTCTGAGTACCCGGCAACTGGCCTGGTCTTGAGTTACTGGGGCTCTCTGTGTCCCATTGTTCCTTGCCCTAGCAAAGAGCAGCATCCTCTTCTGCCAATCTTCGGAGCACACTATCCTTGTGACTAACTCAATTTCCCCATCTAAGACAAAGAGAGAGTAAATTTTAGAACAGCAGAATCAGTGATGCTACATTTCATAACATGATGAACTACAGACATTGCCAGCAGTTATGTGTAGCTATGTTTGGTTTCTTTTTTCTAAATACCAATAAATCCAAAGGTTTGACAGATAAACCGTCTTGAGCCTCCTCCGTGTGTACAACTGATCATTTCTGTTGCAGTACACATACCCGTAGTTGTCAATTTACTGAGTACATCTACCTAAAAATATTGCAGTCATATACAAAAGTCCTGTAATAACCTCTGAAGATTATGATGTTCATTATACAGAAAAATGTTTCCAATTTAAAATCTACTCTGACGGACATATATGAGGTTAACATAATATCAGAATCTATATATATTTCTCCCACTCTTGCGTTTGATGTATTTTTTTTATTGTTGACGTTTTTTTATTTGGGATATCACAGTTCTTTCATCACTGCCATGTTGCAATATTGTCGATCAGGAACTTCCAGAAATAACCAATTAGAATAAGTATCTTATTCGGTATCGCAAGGCACAGTAAACGCGATAAACATATAACACACCAATATGGGTAGTGCGGCACATCACAGCCTTTCTAGAGAAGTTAATCATTGTATGTAAATCCACAGTTTTTCTCAGCAGCGACTTAAGTAATTAGCTCATGTTCCTAAGCTAGCTAATTCGCGTCAAGAAGGAAACACTGCAACTCTATATTTAACACTGTCCATCGCATTCACAAGCCAGACAAGTGAGACAATAAATAAATAATGATCCTCGATAATTTAGGCTTTTATCTTTGGCTAAAAAATATGATTCATTTTAGCAACAGAGCTAACAGTTAGCTAGTTAGCTAGCTTGCTCGCCAGCTTGTCAAGACCAACGTATCAGAGTGGACTGTGGCCACAAGGTGCAAAGAGGAAACGCGGATAATACTGCATATTAAAGATATAACAAATGCTTACTGGTAAACGTAAACGCACGGTTTTTATGGATGGAGAAAAAAGCTGTCACTTTAAATGACCAACCTGGCCACTTCCTTGTTGATTTTCTTCAGTTCCTTCTGTGTACAGACAGGAACCTTTCTCATGGTGTCTCAGAAACTATTACCCTCAACCCCTTGCTGATACTTTTTAATTTAACCAGTTTATTTTTTAACCGTCACAGAACAGCGAACATAATTTATATATTCACATCACTAAAAAATAATTTCAAAAAATGATCGTGGACAACATTTTCTATCCAGATGCTGAACCATTTTTAGCGTCGGAAAAAAGAAAACGAAGTCCAGGTCTTTGCCGAGCATATTACACTGCGACTCAAGGAAGGGACTCCATTCGAGCCTTGTTGTTATTATTCTGAGCTAACTGTCAACCAGAAAGCCACCTGTTTTAAACTTAAACGTCAGCATGTCCTCAGACTTTGAAGCCTACGAGCAGGACTTTGGAACCATCACAGCAGAAGTAACTAACAAAATTGGCAGAATTCCCAAACTAAGTGGAGGTAAGACAGTCGTATTTTATTAGCTGGAATCGCTGAGTTGGAGCTAGCTATCAGTTAGCTGGCAAGCTAACGGTACCCAGGTGTAGCTTACTTCATCAATATACCATATTATCTTAGGGTATAATGTCGCACTAAATGGTGAAACAGCTATAGCTATAGTGAAACAGCTATAGCTATATTGTTTTTAATAGCGGTGTATAAAAGACCCATATCACCTGTTACTGGCTGCTTTATTAGCTTGGTATGTCTTTAATGATTTAACCAGTGTGAAAATGGGAAACAACAAATAACATATACGTCATGTTTTCCACTGGTTAAGATATGTATACTTTTTCAGTTTACTGCCTAAAGCAGGTCTTACATAACATTATCTAACAGGGTAGTAATTGCTGTCACCTTACAAAAAGAGGTCAGACCTGTGTGGACTAAACATATTCCTGGCAGACATTTTTACTTTTCATAGCAAGAAAAACACAGGTATCATTAATAACATTAATCAGGGCAAAGCCTGTGACTGAAATTTAATATGTGGGTACAAAAAGTAGATGGAAAGATAAATTACATAATCTCACATTATATGTCAACCAAATGACCATCAATGTTTTCAAATGATAATCAATGTTTTCAAATGATAGTACCTATTCAGTCAAGTCAATATCTGTTATTCCACATGAAAGCTCTGCTTTGTTGGATTTGTTTTGTATAGATAACTAGTTTCTTGTATTCTCCAGATTACACCCATGTAGTCAATTTAGTTTCTGTACTCACATGGCTGGGTCCGGGCATGTCAGCATATGTTACAAAAATTTAAAGAGCATGTTTACACTGTGAATAATTTTTCTTGATTAAAAGTTTATGTTTATCATGTTCCTATCAGTTCCTATACAGTGAAGAAAGACAAAAGGGGGAGAGAAGAGGGGATGACATTGAGCAACAAAGATCAATCTGATTTCAAATTGCAACAAAATGACGGGTATTGAGTCCCACTCAGAATTGCTTTATTCATAAAGATAGTAAATAAATAGTAACTAAACTATTTTCTCATTGTGACTTAAGTAAACATTGGAAAAACTTTGTAACAACAATCTAACACAATAAATAGGTGCAGTGGCGCACTCATGCCAGCAGATTAAAGCAGATGTATACACGGGTGCCAGCAGGCACAGCTTTGTATAAAGGGCAAAGAGGATGTGATTGATCACTTGTCCATGTGGTATTGCTGTACTCATTGAATCGGGCTTAGTGACACAAGCTTCAGTTTTCAACCTAAAAAGGCTTTAAGGCTGACAAATGTTTCCTTTTTCTTTTACTGCACATCATAATTTTTAGTCCATCCATACTTAAGCCACAAATGAGAAAAACAATATTGCAGACAAGCAGTTGATTACACTTAGTATTTACAGTGTACAAAATAATTCTCAAGAGGGCTTATATATGGCCATGCTACCAACTACACACAATAACTTTCCTCAGTCAAAGTGTGTTGAGTAGAACTGATGCACCTATTTTACCCAGTCTGTTTCTTGTCAATATGTTTTCCTGTTCTTCTAAAACTTTATTTTGATTAGGTTTTAATATTGTTCATTTAACATGCTGTCCTGGCATACTGTCAGACACTGTATTCTCACATTCAAACACATGAATTGTTTTCCCTGCTACATATATAAAGCCGTTAAAAACACACATCATCACTCAGCCATCGTTTTGCCAACATTTAGCTTTGCACAGTGGCCTGTTTGTGCTTGTCAGTGTCCTATACACAGCTTAAATGCTGTCTTTCAATGCACATCCAACCTCATAAATTTGAGTTACCATGTCACTTAGTACTTATCCCAGTTAGAGGTGTAGGTAAAATAGTAAACAAGTTTGCATTGATCCAATTATATACAGATAACAACTCAGCCAGTTTTTGATTCCAGTTTTAAACAGCAAAAGGTTTAAGTGGAATTTTACAGTGTGAAATACACTACATATTTTTGAGATATGTGTAAAATATTAAGCATATTTTACACATGAACCGGTGTAAAAGAGGTGGCCAAAATTGTATTGTCTGCAACTAGTTGTCTGCAACTACTGCTCCCAGTTTAGACTAGTAGTTTTAGTTTTGATCGTTAAAAAATGCTTCCATCCACTTAGGATGTTTATCTTCTACTCTGGGCTCACACTTGCTCATTGGTTTTTCAAAGGGCACTGCCTCTCTCAAAACCTCGGCTAACTGAGTATTTCTGGTTTGGAATTGGCATCTTTGAAGATTCATGGCAGCCCATTCCACAGAGTAATTCCACATTGCTTCCTCTCGCCATCTGTTAACTGTGTCAGAGTAAGCCCATATGAATATGTACAAAGCCAGGAAACACATTGCAACCATAAGTAGTTGTTCTATGTGTTCCTCCACCAACAGAATAGTTTACAGTTGAATTTCAATTCCCTTCCTTCTCATTAAGGTTTTTCTTCTCTTTCTTTCTTAAGTCCCTCTGGCTCTTCTTCCTGAAGTGGCTGAATTTTGCCTGTGGTTTGACAGCCCTCTTTAATACGTTAATATAGCTCCAGACAAAGGGCTTTTGTCATTGCTGTTGTTGTATCTCTCTATTTCACATGTGCACAATTGCTGATAATGGCCATGGCATGTGGAAAAAATGTCCTTGACTGTCTTCATTCATGTAACAGTCAAATGAATGTGTGTTTATATATTTATTTATTTACCATCCCCCAAAAACTAAGGTTCAAGGAATATTTGAATAAGAATACAATGAATTGTTAGGCCTTGTTCCATGAAACATGAATGTCATTTTTTCACCTTTGAGTGTGTGAGTCATGGCAAGAGATTGCCTGTCAATCATTGCAACTCAAATATGGAGCATTTTTTAAGATAAAAAAAAAAAACATACTCTTGCCAAGCTCTATTTCTTCGTTATTTGCCTTACTACTGTGTACAAAACTCCTCATCCGTCCGTCAGCAGGTTGTAGTCTTGATAAAAATCCATACATATTTCACAGCCCTCTGGCTTGGGCCTGAGTTTGAGCAAGAATGCACCAGCTCACCTTTCAATGAATTGCCTCTGGCTGTTTACTGTGTAGGTTGTGAGGTTGGACATGAATTTTAGGATTTGCAAAAGATAATGTTGGCCCATGGTGCCTGAGAAATGAAGATCTTACCTTAGCTTTTTTATGATATTGCAGTCCCATAGCTGACAGCCTTGTGATTTGCTTTGGAGTTTGAAGTTTTGTTGACTTAGACTTTTCATTTACTTTAAATGCAGTTAGTTATGAGGTTAAAAAACTGTCATATTCTGATATGATATTTGATTCATTTGATTATTTTTTTTCTGTTAAATGATTACATTTAAGAACATAACTGAAATGGTGATAATTCAAAATAGAAATATTTGAATTGATCTCTTTTCTGCTCATATTGTGAATACTGACATACTGATATCCCAAAATGATGCTAAAACTGATTTCCTATTGACTGTCTGTGCAAAGACATGAAGTGCTTTCCTCAGTTTCCTTTTCTGCTGATGAATGCTATTGGCTGAAATTGCTTTGTCTTTTTTTCCCCAAATTCCACATACTAAGTCTAAGCAGGCTTTGAAGTATACTCAAACCACACATTCTAAATGCAGGCCTTTTTTTGAGTGTGCTGCTGATGGACATTAGTCTCCCACAATGCAGTGAAAATAGGAAATGGAAGAGCTGCTCACAGCTGGAAAGAGTTAAAAGTATTAAATCTTATGAGGAACACTCACTTGAGAGGTTCAATCAGCAGGGACATCCCAAAGTCTTGGACTGATTGATATCATGTTTCACTTACTGAATCTTAAAATAAAATGGTATATTGTTGTTGTTTTTTTTTTATACAAACTGCTAAAACAGTTTACTGCGATGATTAGTATGTAGTACAATTTTGAATTATTGCTATTGTTATTATATAATATGAATTTGGGGCACATCAACTGCTTCACTGGCTCACTGACCCATTGTTAATGTTATTGGTAACACCTGTGCTTCTGTGAAATAGGCTTATTCATTATTGTAATATCGCATTCCTTGTTGAGGGGATTTTCAATATTAACAACTATACACTAATATGAGACTGTAAAAGGTTACATATTTCTACTGTAAACTTTGGACCAGGGTTCATTTTTTAAATATTAAATAATTTGTTTGATCTCATTTTATAAATAATGTTTAGTTCATTTTAAAATTTAGAAAATAATCACACATTCCACCACATTATCAGAGCTTACACTTGTGTCTTAAAACAGTTTGTTTTGTCTGACTGGCAGTCACATATCTTAAGTGAAAAGCAGACAAATTCAAACATTCAAGAGTCACTAATCAGTATGCTTACACATGGCTTTAACAATGACTTACTAATTGGTGACTATTCCTAAAATTTAGGTATTCAATTCAAACATATTTTGTCGTGTATTTAAAAATTATGATCACCCTTCTGTCCTTTTTATCAATATGTTTGAATAATGATGCTTGATTGTTAAACAAAGAAACCAAACTAAACCTCTACCTTCCATGTGGTTTACCTTCATGGCAAAGAGCTAATTTCAGAACAAAGACCAGTTCTTGTATGTGGTGATGTTGCTGCCTTAAATAACAATGGGATGAACTGTAGTTTACACACTTCTTTGGAACTCTCGCCAGTCCTAATGAGTTTCAATGGGTAATGTGGAAGAGCAGCCACGGGGTGAGGTGCAGAACGGTGCGTTAGTCATTCTGAGTGGGACTCATACTTCTGGCAAGTGAGCAAAGCTGACACCTCCCTTCCCTTTGAGTTGGCACGAGGTGTCTCACTGCTCCTCAACAGAAACCAACAAAGGCCTCATAGACGCCAATAACTAAGAGACATCAAATGTTGGCTCGTCGTGTGGAGAGAATGTGTAAATATATCTTCAAATGTGTCCTCGTGTGTTGTTTTCTCCCAGTCTCTTTCTATCTCTCTCCCCCCGTCTCTTCCCCTGTTGTGGGGGAGTTAGGTTGTTGTCATGAAGCGCTGTTCCTCTGTCGGCTGATCAATATGTTGCTGTTTTTTTTCCCTTTCAGAGGAGAAGACACAGCTGGTTCTAAATGTTGACAAACAGCTTGAAGAAGTCAGAGAGTTGGTATGTCTTTGATCAGTAATTTTCTCCTCTTCCCATTTCCTAAATAATGAATTTGTGGAAAGAGGGAGGGGACAATTTTCACTGGCACCAGACAACAGCACCTGTATTATCCTGGTGGTGACATGACATACACACACACACACACACACACACACACACAAACACACACGCACACATATACACTCACATCACATGGCGGAATGGAGGCTTCCTCCTCACATGATTGCTTTCCCATAATCTGCTTTTAAGTGACACCCCTATGACACATTTCAAGCCATTATCTTGAGGTGGGAGTCTTCATGTTGCTGTTTAGAAATGAGCAAAGTCACCTGACAGAGACAAATTGTTGTTGCAGTTGTCTTGTTATGTCACAGTGATTGGTTTCCTCCAAATCCGCCACAGAGAGACCTGTCTAGCCATGCATCAAATGTACTTTTACTTCATTCGCAGTGACATTGTTGGGCCTATGCATGTTGCAACAATGAAGGGGCCCTCATATTTGATTGTGTATTTATTTACAGAACATCCTTCCTCTGTCACAACTTTTAGCACAGCTGGGTGATGTGAGCGGGAGGCATTTTCTTTTTACAATCAACATTGGAACATATTGATGTTAATGCAGCTGAAGTAACTCATTTCAGAAAGTTTAATGTTTTCAGAGTTGTCACAATTTCTATCTGGAGCACCTTTTGTCATAGATAGTAACATTTTTGAGAGACTTAGCAATGCAACATTTACAGAAATGTGTAGATAGTAAGAGAAATATGATCATTAGAGAATAGTGCAAAGCCTAGAATTTTTTTAAGCATTTGTTTGAGAGTGCCATGAAAATGATTATAATTAAAAGTACACATTTCACCAGGTTGGTTCATTTACATTATGATGTAAATTTGGATGAAAATGAACTCTAAACCTGTCAGTTTTATATCCCAAACAATTTCATAGTAAAATATTTGAAATGTTTGGTAAAGTAACTGGATTGTTTTGGGGTTTTAGCTGGAGCAGATGGACCTGGAGGTGCGGGAGATTCCCATCCAGAGTCGAGCCATGTACAACAGCAGACTGAAGAGCTACAAGCAGGAAATGGAGAAGCTTGAGAAAGACTTTGTAAGTACTTAAACATTTAAGAAAATCTTTAATTATCATTGAAATGTTATAATGTTACTGACATTTAGCAAATCCTCTTAATAAGTATAACCTCCAAAAGATGCATTTATATAACATAACATACTGTATATACATATGCATACCTAGTTAAAAGTTGTCTCAACCAGGCGCATTCTCCCTTACACACATTCTTACACACACAAACAGACCTATGCAGAAGCTCAGTGGTGCATCCACTGAGGTTAATTCATTGTTTGTATTTGAACTTGCAAGTGATGCCTATTGAGAACAGGTTGTGTGTGTGTTTGTGTTGTTGCTGCAAAATCTGGCCTTGTTTAGTAATTCATAAATCACTGTATGTCTTGACTTCATCCCTAGCCTCTATCAAAGCTTAATGAGCAGCCCAGTCTTTTGGGTCACTTGCTTTTAGTCCACAGTGTTGGCTTCAGTACTTCACTTAATCAGTAAAGTCATAGAAATAAGCAATTATCCGGTGTGAATCTAGAAGTTAATCAGTGGTTTGTTCTTATCTTTTTATCACTCTTTGTCTTTTTTGACTTTTCTCACTACCCTTATGTTAAATATATTAAATATATTTTAAAATATCGTTGTTTGTATTCAGATCTTTATCTTACAAAAAGATATGTATCTTTAATGATACCTTTTATTTTTTTTCTCTCATCTGCTGTTGTTTTCTGTTGTCAGTTTTGTTGTGGTGCTCACATGATAATAAACCTGTAGTGTGAATGCAGCTGACCTTGAGCTCGAGAGCAGACGAGTCCTCCCACATATCAGATATGATGTGAAATAAATCCACAACCTCACATTGGGATGGACAAATAAATACTGAATCAGACATTTAAGAACTTTTTAAATAAATTCACAAAAGGCTGACCTGGGACAGGTGCAGTATTTAACCTTGTTGTTAATGTGGCTTCAGTATGGTTTTGTTACCTTTTTAGATTTTGGCAAAATAGTCAACAAACTTTACTGAAAACCTTGAACTGGATTGAAGGTTTTTTCCTCTCAAATGTGGACTTTTTCTTTACTTCAGTATAGCTAATACTTGAAGGAAATGGTAATCACTGTAAAATGACTGTTCAAAATGTTCAATTTTAGACTGCTTTTCATCAAAGTAAAAACATTTTTATCAGAATTGCAAGTGTAAACTTTTTTTGTTTGTTACAAAATGAAAGTTTACACAAAATAGAATGATCAATATATAACTAACTTGATATTTTGAATATTCTTAAACATTATCTAAATTATGACATAAAACTCATATTGGTCATAACATTGTGTCTCATGTAGCCCATGCTCTCCTCTACCACTGACAAACAAAGCTAATCTGAGTTGAAACCTGATTCTTTTTCACTTCGGCACTTATTTCACTTTATTCATCAGCCCAAACATTTGTTTAACATCATTAACCACAATATACTTTTGAAAATCTATATTGAATCTCTGACTATTCCAAATGCAGAACAAACGAGCAAACATGCATAAACAACCCATGTGCATGGAGATATCATGTGCTAGTGATCTGTGAGCACACCACTGAGATGTGCTAACTGAGATCACAGAGGAGATCTCTGTGCCAAGACAGTTTGCTTTCCTCGCCATGGGCATTTAATTGGCTGATGATTAATCTTTAACTTTTCTTCTCCCCACACTTACCGTGCTTAATCATCAAGCAGTTAACACCTGCTGTGGCTGGTATTGGTGCTAATTTTCATTACTAGCATTTTTATGCTTGTCTGAGAGGCATATGCGGGAAAATGTGTTTCTTTTACCTGGAAAAAGTTGAGATTCCTCCACTCACTTCATTAAACTAAACACGATTACATCTTAATTCTTACATCCATATCGCTGCATATTGACAGGTTCTATGTAAGTCGAATGTGTCGAGGAGCACAATTCTGCAATGCAAAGCATACCATAGCAGTAGGATAGTCTTAGTGCATAAAGAATATAAGAATATTGGCCTACTTCTAACTGTGACTCCCCAGTTTGACAGTAATTTTCATTTTTACACCTCTGTGTGTGGTGTGGTCAGATCACTGTACATTTAAACTAGGATCACCCACTTCACACAGTAACATCTAGTATATCTGGTCTCCTGTAAATCTGATGCAAGTGTTCAGAAGGCAAGAACTTCAGCCCCCTCAGATGTGCCTCAGATGTGCCAAATGCTATAGCCGAGCTCAGCCTCTCACTTCCTGCAGGCCTAGGGAGGACATGACACTCGGCTCGAAAGGCGTCTTGTGGAAAAAAGGCAATCTCCTTTCTTTTTAATGTAAAAAGCTCAGGCTTTGTTGTGCTTTCCGTGGATATCAAGGCCTTTCCACTCCCTCACTACCCAATCTCCCCCCGCAACCCCACCCCCTACTGGCCTCCCACGGGTGTCTCCCCCCTTAACCTGCTCTCTCATCCTCCCATTCACCCGTGGTTTGAAGTCTGTCTACCACCGGTGTGCCAGCTTGAGACCACATTCCTGCTCCTTTCCAGACAGGGCCCGAGTCGACCTCAGTAACCCAGCCATTTCATCCAGGATAACAACTTATCACACAGTCATCCCAAAGGTGTATATATGAGATGGAGCTTTGTTGGCTTGGCTGACAGCTTCATTGCGATAATAGAGGGGACAGTGGGAGTCTTAAAGGTGCTGGGCCACGACAAACAAGCATTGTAGGAGCCAAAGGGGATGTCAGCCTAAGCAAAAACGTGCAACTTGGTGTGAAAAAAATTAAAAAGGACAATGAAAATCCTATTTGATGGACTTGGCCTGTTCAAGTCAGGGGAAGCAGAATGGCATGGCTCTTAGCAATGGCTTTGATCAGGCAAAGAAGATGCCTAAAGTAAGCTTAATTTAATGAAATCTATCGGGTAAACAGAGCCACCATCTTCAAAGGGCCACGTTTGGTTAGTCCCAGTGGGAAAGATGGGGGTCCACAGATGTCTGCCGTGTCACACAAAACACAATCCAGGTTTGAGGATGTGACTCAAAATATGTAGTAAGTGTGTGTGCCATCATGCCCATGTGTGACATGGGCATGATAAGATTTCAGCCCTAAACTGTCATAAAGCAAATCGTCTCAGAGATTTAGAGGAACTCATGGAAGTGTCTTCTGTTGTCAGTGCATATTTTGAATATCAATGTCCTTCCTATCTTGGCCTTTTTAAAGTCGTTCTTTGTCATATTGTTAGGCCTTGGTTGTGGTTGAATATGTTCGGTAAAATGAATAGGAATGTTGACTGTTCACACTATTTAAGTAGATCTTAAGTTGTTTTAAACAAGATGTATAACTGAAATTATTAGTCAGTTAATTAATTTATTGATCAACAGGGCAAATGCTAAGCCTTCCGTAGGCCCAAATTGTCATTTGTGAGGATTGCTGCTTCTCTTAGCCTTACGTGATAGTAAATGGAACATCTCCTTGATGAGGATTTTTCACTCTTTTTATAGACCAAACAATCGATGAATCCAGAGAGTAATCAGCAGATTAATCAATAATGTAAATAATGGTAAGTCGCAGCCCTAATATCATTATATCAACGGTAAAACAGAATTGAAAAATCTTTGTCCAACCTTCCAGCTTGTTTAATACATTAGTTAAATTTTTACAAGAACTGTTGGTCACAAATCTAAAACGCTTGTCCCTAAATTCAGTGAAGTTACAAAAGTACTTTGTCTAGAGAACTTCTTGAGTAAGTTAATATTGAAATGTTTGGAAATGTCTCTTCACTGCATTTACAGATGATTCTGAGCGTGTTGCTTTTACTTTAAGTATCAGTATGCCTTCTGCTTGCATTAGCTGGTGCGGTTGTTCGTCTCTTTTTGCAGCAGATGGCGGTATTGCTCTAAGAATTTTCTACTACTTAAGGTACATGACAAGGACAATATTGGGCACATTTACCAATTACTTTGCCTTTGTGATGTATGAGTGGACTTGCTATGATAAATCCTTCCACTTATTACTATGCCTGACCTCATCCTTTATGCTGTGTAATAGAGACTGAAAATAATGTTAACCAAACGTCCTTGTGGTGAAAATCCATTTAATGCAAAGTGACTTATAGTAGTCTGGGTGCCAACTTTATGTGTTTGCTTTAGTTTGTCCCTGCCCAGCTTCCCATACTCTGAAAGTTAATTAACCAAGCAAAATAAAATATGAATGAAATAGTAACGTTGTGTTTCAGGAGATGGATTCACTTTTTGTTGTCTTTTCAGTAGCTAAAGCACTTCTGATTCAAATGTTAGGTGCTTTGTATTCAAGGATCCTTGACTCTGATAAAGGTTAATTGGTAGTTATAAAATATCAAGCTCTTTCAAGTATTAGTGTTGTATACTTCACATTTTTCTGTCATTAAGTGGAAATGCATTCCAGTAATGGTCAAGGCAGTTTTGTTTATGTTGTTTAGAGTCACTGTTTAATTTTGTGGTATAATGTAGCAGGATTAATTTGCTTAGATCAACCCCAATTTTGTCTGAATAGAAAAAGCTACTGTTGATCTGCCACAATATGCTGTATCCTGTTTCATCAAGGACCATAAAGATGTCATTCATTACCATGCATCATTTTTCCTTTTGAAACACATATAATTACCTGGTCTTTATATGAGATTTGTACACATGTTCTACACATAATGCAAGTTACGACAAGATGTGAAAAATGTGATACGGGCACATTTTGATTCACCCTAAGTACAGTATTTAACTTCAAAACAGTCCTATTCAGCAAGGTTTAAAATTATGGTGGAATGATTTTCTTCTCTTTCTTGCTCATTCCTACATTTATTTCTTTATGGATATTGCAATAGTTGGTCCTACCTGTGATTTCAGATATTCAGTCATGAGGCCAACAGGGATACAACTATCCCTTCTTAATTTCTTATTGTCTATTGAATTATTGTTTGGAGGTACAGTCATGGTCAATTAGGATGTTTGGATTGCCTTTTCCTCTAGTAAAAACCTTTAGATGGAAAGCCTCACAGTGTCT